GGAAGTTTGCTCCGCAACGGACGTCCGATGGCATCCGTCCGACGGGACGAAATTTACCAACTTGCATCACTCTTCTCGTAATTCAGGATAGATCCTTCATCAGTAAACTACAGCAAAAGCCATTTATCCAAAATTTATTGGATTACAGCTTCTTCGTGCTACAACTGTTCCTCATTAAATTGAAGCTTTTCGTTGAAATTGTAGGCGCGTGTACAGCTCAGAAGTAGACGTGCACCGAAGAGGCCAATGTCCATCCCTATTCAATTCCCGTTTGTGGGATGGGGAGGGTTCATTTCGTACCACCCAACAACACTGTCCGGCTTCGCTCATTCTTATACGGCCGATTACCGCTCTCACAATGATTCTTCGGGATCTGATAAAACGTTGGCCAGAGAAGGCGTTCTGGAACCCTCAACAACGTTTCATATAGAAACCGCTGACGAAGACAAAGATCCAACCCAGTGATTGTTTCAACCCATACAGCATCTAAATAGGCCTACTAAAAGTGCTGTTACTGGTCAAACACCAGACCAGATTACAAACTCAGAAGATGTGACAACTGCTCGAACAATAGTTAACCATCAAAATCGAGAGCACTGCACATATTTGAAAAATCACTCTTACTTGTTTTCGTCTAATAACAGCTACTTCTTAACCTGTTTCCCACTTGGGTACCAAGTCTCCAAAAAGTTTTGTTATCATCATTTCCAATGAAAATCATTAATCACATGCGCCAATACTTTTTGTCGATGTGCCTAGCATTAAAAACATAGAAATAAACCTTCCAAAGATAATCCAAATACGGTTAGTGCCAGTACAGGAAGCAGGACCTGATTCACATATGAACTCTTTTTCAAAAGAAAAGTCAGTACTATAAACAAGATGCTATTCGCCGGGACGAAGATAAACCAAGGCAGTATTGACGTCAAAAATTTAGAAAGAGCAGCACCAACTTCACCAACAAAAGTTGAAACCTAATTATAAGTGAACTCGAAAAAATCTTTCAAAAATATCTCCGAGGAAAACTTTTAGGATAATTTGAAAATTGTTGATGAGGCAAAGCAAATGCTAGGCCTAAAGCGCAAGCTGTTCGGCCGTTGCTTGGGTGTCGTTTTTTTTCAATCACCGTCGCCACATACCGTACACACTACCGTTCAGCTAAAACAATTTGGACAGGGTGATGCTGATGAGTAACTAAGTAAGATCGGTGGATGAGAAAGACGCTGATGGGAACCTCTTACCATCACAACGATCCACCGGAATGCCGAGACCAGGTAGCAAAAAAGGAATAAGCTCTGATTTAGATAATTTAGGGATACGCCACAATTTCTACATTTAATTTCGGACATTTATTATTTATGTAATTTAAATGAAAAATGCGCTTTCAAGCTCCTCTTTACTTTGTCTATTCATATCTACAACAAGACGCAAACTACGAATTACGGATTCGCTTCTGAATTTTTTTGTCTTTTGTAGGCCAGACTGCAAGAAATCGTATTTTTCTCAGTCGCTGAGGTATAGAGAACAGGGAATGTTCTCTTTTCGGCCAAGTAGCAGAATGCTGAGGACAAAGAATGAGCCCGTGTCATTGAGGGCGTTGTCAACCTGAACTGGAAGCCATAACAAAGACTCTTGAGAAGGCGTCTAATATTGACGTACATCCGATCCCTGCTCGATCGCCCTACAACAAAACTCTACTAGTAGACCGATCTGTCCTCGTAATCCTCTCCGCATGAGTGGTTGTTGGTGGACGGAAGGCTTCACCACGTTCAAATCGCAGAATTCTGAGTACCAGCTCGTAATCATATCTGCAAGGATGAGAAAGAAAGCGAGCAACAAGATGACTCAGGGCCATGCGATGCGGTGAACCACGGCTGGTGATATACGATGGGAGAGTGGGAGGCGGGAGACTTCAAATCCCATTCCAGTTCACTTGAGATCCCTCGTCCCGCACCCGCATCAAAGGAACACATGAAAAGAGGGCTAATACAGTATGGAGCATGAATCGGTTGGCAGAACTGTTAGGAAAAAAGCGCAAAAACAAAACAATGAGCACGGTTCCCGAAAGTTGAAAGAGTTTGCCAGTCTTTCCTTATATAGTTCGCGCTTTGATTCTTCTTCATTGGTACCTCATCCGCACAGAGCCGTAGTTCTTGCTCTTCACGAAGCCGGCCATACTTTTGTCGAAATTTGCCGTATTTCCACGACGCACCGTCGGACTATTCATAAGACTTTGAAGCGAGGCACACTTCATGATTTTGGTATCTCATATCTCATAGTATCTCATAGTTGGAGGAAAAATGGTTCATATCATAAAATATCAGCTATCTGCGGTTTGATTATAGAATGGGGATTAGTTGCAAAATCGGTAAATCTGCTTTTCATCGAATTACTTCAGTGGTTTCCAATGCTTTCATTTGTTCACATCGTGCGTCAAAATGCCGAGTGGTAACGCAAAGATTGAAGAGGGCAAGCGATTTACCACAAAAACAACAAAAAACAAAAAAACAAAACGCGGAGGGCAACACTCCAAGGAAGAAACAAATAATTATGAACACCAATGACGGCGGTGTGCCCCTTATATAGGGGTCGCCGTGCCACGTCACTAAATCGGTACAAAACGGAGTGGATCATATTAACACGTTGACCTCTTGACGGTCCCTCACTATTCACTATTCTATTCTCACGTACCTCCGTGGGGAAGCCAAGCCACGTCAATACGTCGATACAATAACGGAGTAGATCACATTAACAAGTTGACCAATTCACGTCATTGGGGTCCCTCGATACTCTACACGCTTCTCCGTTTGGAAGCCAGACTACGACGGCTTCCATTTGTCTTGTCCTTTTCTGTTTCATGAGGTTCGCGTGGTGTTTACGTTCCAATTAGGCGAGGTACAAACCCGTCAACAATACGTTCGAGTTGGCAAACGTCGAATATATTGTACTGGATCCGTTCTGGGGCGATCGTTGGAAAAACGAAGAGCTTTGAGCAAAAGAATCGAAGCACTTGACAGTTCTGGCTGCCCACCGCTCCAGCTGTTACGCGTTCAGTACGACTTTGATGAACGCGCAGGGAAAGCACCTTATTCATCCGCCACTGTTTCCGGCGTTTCCAGGATAGCACATCGAGTTTTATTATCCCCACGGAGGGGCGTGTAGAGGATCGATGGACCACACTGGCGTGAATTGGTCAACATGTTAATGTGATCTACTCCGTTATTGTATCGGCGTATTGACGTGGCACGGCGACCCCTATATAAGGAGCGCACCGTGGTCATTGGTGCTCATTATTATTGTTCACTTCTTTTGTACCCAAATTTTTTCCAGCCAAGCGAGACAAGAGAGATGCTGCCGCCGACACCACCGCCACTTCAACCAAGCTCAAGGATGAGCCTCCCAAGAAGAAGCCGAAGATTACCAAGCTTCATGTGATGTACGTACGAGGCGCCAAAGCTGAACGCGCACGCCACGCGCCCCTCATGAAGCAGAAAAAGGAAAACAAGGCAAATGGAGCCGTCGGAGCCTGGCTTCCCCAAGGAGGGGCGTGTAGAGAATAGTGAGGGACCGTCAAGGGTCAACGTATAGTATGATCTACTCCGTTTTGTATCGATTTAGTGACGTGGCACGGCGACCCCTATACAAGGGGCGCACCGTCGTCATTGGTGTTCATTATTATTAGTTTCTTATTTGGAGTGTTGCCCTCCGCGTTTTGTTTTTTTTTGTTTTTTGGTTGTTTTTCTGGTAAATCGCTTATCCTCTTTAACCTTACGTTATCACTCGGCATTTACGCATGATATGAACAAATGAAGCCTTTGGAAGCCATTAAATTCATTTGATGAAAAGCAGATTCACTTTTGCACCTAATCCCCATGCTATAGTTAAGCCACAGATAGCTGATATTTAATGATATTGTCCATTTTTCCGTTTTTCCTTTAGGCGTTTTTGATTCTTTTTTCCTTTTGAGTGTATCGGGGAATTCAGGGATCTATACGTCTTTAATTCGAAAATGTTGCTCCACATCCACATTGCTTGCCTTGACAGGGCGTTAACGCGGAATCGAAGACATCGAGGAAGTTGCCATTCTTCTTGAGAGATTATTCCATGAGAATTGCCTTTCAAATTCCATCAAATGCCTATTTATTTCTACTCAGTTATTTACATCGGATGGCTCACAGCAGTGCTCAATGCGTTTCTCCTAAAAATTGCTTGAACACGTTACAGAACCGCTCAAGGATGTCATTACGTAAGGGAAGTGAACGCGACCAGCCGAGTATGGACGACTGAATGGGCAAGACGTCTCGAGGAATCACGGACCGAATCAGTAGATGGTGATCACAGAATGTTTAGTGGCTTTCTGGTCTCGATTCCTGCATCTTTGCCGAATAGATCCCAATCTTAGAACGTGGCAGAGGCAAGCCCCTGATTTTCTTTCGCTTCTGAGTCATCGAGCATCTCTAGGTGTCTAAGGGCATCGTCGGTTTAGAGAAACCCTAGATCTTCTATTTTTTCGTCTCTGCGGTGCCGACCTCGATCTTTGACGGTGGTGAACCCGCGTTTTTGATTCTTTTTTGCTTTTAAGTGTATCGGCGAATTCAGGGATCTAACGTCTTGAATTCTGAAAATGATATTTTCCACGTTGCTTGCCTTGACTGGTTGTTACCGCGGAATCGAAGACACCGAGGAAGTTTCATTGATCGAATTTGTGAATTGCCATTTATCACGATTACTATAGATGTTAATAAATTATTAGTTGCGGAAGACGCTCCTTAGAGGTTGGGCCTGGTAAACAGCAGATTGTTGAGAACTCGTTTTCATTTCTAAGTCGGACCAGACCCCATTTCTATGGACACTATTTAACTGTGATATTTTGTGCTATAGTGTCCACTCAGTGAGCGTGAGGGTGCGTGAGCGGATGTGCTACTATAGCTGAGTTATGTACAATGAAATATGTGTATTTCAGTTANTAGAGCACAGTTTTAGGAAGAGTCAGAGATTCTATGAAGCGCTTCGAAGTCTCAGGACCGACCTATCCTTTGACGGTCGCATACCTCAAGAACAATTATGACGACAAGGAAGCCCTGATACAAAGGCTCCTATACAATCTTCAATTTGCGCGCGCCCATCTAGACGACCAAGAAGCGCTGTGCGAACTGGACTCTATCGTATCTCAGCTTAAAAGCAAAGGCGAACATGTTGACAATGTATTTCTGCGAAGACAATTGATCAACAAACTTTCACCGAAAGTACCATTACTGCTGATAGCTAAAGAGTATATCAAAGGAGAACTCAGAGTCACACGCCAGATGAAGCAATGGACCATTTGTGATACATCGAAAGAGACATCATGCACCCCTTATGGGAGTATGCACCGCAAACATTGACAGAATCTCTGCTCCTACTGTGGAAATAGTGGGCATCAGCCAGTGAACTGAAACGAAGCTACATTATTGGAACAACGACTCCAAATTATTAAAACTCAGAAGCTATGCCACAACTGTGGCAGAAAGGACCACATAGCTGCAATCTGTACCGGCGGTGCCTGTCGGTTATGCAGGGAGAGTGCTCACCATACTTTCATTTGCGAGAAATTGACTCTCCTACCGAGTGAAGAAACACCGATTTTAAAACAACTGCATCGATAAGAGCAACCACAAATCCCCAGACCATCATGTCGTCAACCACCAACAACCTTACGTCTACATTTGCTCTCGAACATTCTGAACCATAGGATATACCTCCTCTCGATGATTCCCAAGACCTCTCAGAGGTTCAAGTTTCCGTTAGTCAAGCACGAGTCCTGAATCCCACTGCTGGGCAATGAACAGGCCAACCCAACTATATGCTTCCAACAACAAGCACGCCACAGAGCATTCCAAAAGAAATACTCGATTGGGAGAGGCACAACACGATAAGTTCTATCCAAACAACCTCGACCTACGTTCTGCGATTCATCAGAGGCCTCATCTCGAAGATGCCCTCGGAACTACAATCTCGCATCACAAACACAATTCCAGAACTTCTCCAAATGTCGAAGGAGCAGTACGGTTGAAAGAAGACTGTAGTTACAGGTGTTCATCAGAAATCATCAGATGGTACATCTCCAAGGATCGAAATAAAATTTGTTGAAACAGTTAAAACCACGGAAAGACAAGAATGGCATCCTCAGATGCCGTGAACGAATGGAGCACGCCGATCTCTCCTTCGAAGCGCGTGAACCATTTTTTATTGCAGCGAAATCCAAGTTGGCAGAGAGCATTGTACAGCATGCCCATTCTCCACCTCCCTGCACGACTGCTCATACAAAGGCCAACGTAAGAAACTGTAACTGGATACCGAAACTCCGGCAACTAGCTCAACGTGTAATAAGAAAAAGGTCCTTGTCAGAAGATGAATAACCTCTCATACAGATACCCGGGAATGGGTGATCTTCCCAGACGACGCGTTTGCAGAGTGCACCCACTTCGACATGTTGGACTACTGTTGTGTTGTTGACTATTTCGACCCATTATGAACCATGTTGTCGACTACTTTGACCCATTATCCAGGGAAAATGATGAAGTGTTACAAGTATGTGGAATAATTATTACGTGCATGACAACTCGACTACATCATCTGGAACTTGTACCTGATATGACAACTATTAATCTCCTTGATGCACTACGTCGATTTTCCGCAAGAAGAGGAGTCCCTGCCACAATAACATCGGATAACGCACCTAACTTCCACCTAGCAGAGCGGATTCTTTCTGATGTCATACGTTCTATCACAGAAGACACTTCGTTTGCCAACTCACTAGCATCGAAAGAACCATAACACCATTCGCCCCATTTCGCCCATGCCACGGAGCATTTAACGAGCGATTGATAAAGTCTGTCAAGTACTCACTCTACCAAGTAATGCGGAAAACCATTCTGACGAAGACAGACTTGGAAACAACAGTAACCGAGATTGAAGGAACTCTAAACACAAGACCGCTCTCATACCAAGAAGAAAATTGGGAGGAAACCGCGACCTTAAGACCCATTGATTTCATACAACGTGATATGGTCATCACATACCCGTTCGTAAATTGTGCAACAGACGAAAATGACGAGGATTATTTTCCACCCAGCGAAGCAGCGCGACTAAAAACTCGTCAACAAGCCGGAGAAGATTTGAAGACAAGGGAACCCGAAGAACACCAGCCAGAAATACTGTGGTGCTCATATACGATTCAACAACTCCACGAAACACTTGGAAGCTGGGACGTATACACGGTCTTCCTCCATCAGAGAATAGAATCATCCGAGAAGCACATGTTAAGTTACCAAATAGAAGAATCATCCGAAGACCTGTAAACTTTCTCATTCCGCACGAATTACAAGATGGTACAGATACAGAAGAATCACCAGTCGTCGACAACA